CCTCACCTGCGCTGCGCATGAGGCGGTCGAACGACTGGCCCCAGCTCTGGATTTCCTCCAATGTAGGCCTGCGATAGCAACGGTAATGTTAGGCCTTTTTGTGTAACGACGGAAAAGTAAAAATAATATTAAAAATGGATTAACATGAAAAGTAATGAGGACGCAAAAAGATAGCGAAATAAGAAAGTAACTGACGGCGCGTCTCCGTCGACCAGCAAGGGCTCGTGCGGGCCGGGGCGGCGCGCCTTGCCGCCTGCGCCGCGCTCGCCGGCGCGCTCCGCCGCGCTGCAACAGACACTTGCCTGAGTGTCCCGACCGCTCCCGAGGGCACCCGACTCAACCCGAGAGACCCGACCGCCCCCGAGTACCCGGTTTAAGCACACTACATTCCCTCCCGCTTTCACATTCCAAATTCATATCATACTAATATTATAAATGCCAAAGTTTGGATGTATGGAAGTATGTTACTACATATCTTCAAAACTGGTCAACGGATCTTGATAAAATTTGGCACAGATGTAGGACATAGTCTGGTAAAACATTTAAAACTTGCAAATTTTGTAATTGCGTTTGGCGCGCCGCGCGACAAGGCAACGAGAATCATTAAGAAGTAGACTTATTTATTTTGTAATAGTCAGGATCAATAATGATCTTATGGAGGACTTTTTTTCTTTTTAATGCCTGCGATCACAGACCTACCTATCTTTTCTATAATAAAAAATATTGTTTCGAGACTTTTTTTAAATTGCTTTTTTATATACATATTATATATCCCAGAAAGTAGTGTCAAGTGGAGGTGCAGAGATAGAGTACCCCTTTAGGTACCCGAATCACCCCCATGTATGTACCGCAATTTTTCGTAGTTTGCGACTTATGATTTTTTTTGTCGAATTTTGAAAATTTTCGATCCTAACAATTTTAAAAGTTATATTATGCTTTTATGTTTAAAATAATTAGCTACATAATTTTAATGAAAATTATAAAAACACTAGTGTAAAGTGAAAATTTTACATTCGCTACATACACATACAACTCAGTTTCAAAAAAAAAATATCTGGAAGAAGTCTTATACATATTTAGTTATAAATTTTAAAGTTGTTACGGTGAAAATTTCCGAATTTTCATAAAAAAAAATTAATTACTCGAAAACTATTAAAAAATCGCGGAACATACATGGGGTGATTCGGTTACCTTAAGGGGTACTCAATTTCTGGACCTCCGCTTAAAACTACTTTTTGGGACATCAACATTAAAAATTTGAAATTAAACTTGCATTTTTGTAGAATTAAATTAAAATGAGAATAGCAATAGTTCGTAAACTACAAAAACATATTCTTACAATGTAACTAGAAGTCATATTTTTTAGTTAAAAGTAGTAGTTAACTACGAGTATAATAATATCTCACGAAAGTTGAAACATGTATTCAGATATGGTATATCTGTCCACTCATCTCATCATTCTATCCTTGCCCACAACTAACATACAAATGTTGGCAGCTCGCCTCGATAGGTGCTTTGCCGCGTGTGAATTTGTTGTTACCATAGGGCGGTCCCACGCGGCCGCGCGCTCCTCGGCCCCAACTTACCACTTGGCCCTGCAACCGAATATTGCATTAACCGACAGCGACCGGGAAGGTTTCTGACTTAAAAGTTATAAGTGGGATTAAATACAATTTTAATATTCGATCATTAGCTATACATTATATATATTTACAACAAAACTGATTTTTTTTCTAAATGTAAAAACAACAATTTAGGCGAAAACTCCTCCAAAATTCTGAAACAGCATAACGGATCTCGATGTAGTTTTGCAAGAATGCATAATTGATGCTGAAAGAAATATAGGGTACTTGAAGTTTTTATGTCTGCGCCGGCGTAGTCGCGAGCAATAGCTAGTAGCGGCTACTATGAAGTATTATACGAGTACTACGAGTATATCATATTCCATTAACTAATAGTACATATATGTTAATCGACGTACGACGTAGGACGC